ATCTATCTATCTATCTATCTATCTATCTATCTATCTATCTATCTATCCTGAGGATGTAGTTTACTAAGATTTATTAAGTGCTTTAGTATTTAATTCCATGTCAAATGGCAAGACAAGTTTATTTGTAATTTGCACATTGTTATTATTTTGCACATTTGCACATTTTGTGTACAAGATCATTCAAAGTGCTTTACAAAGAATTTAAAAGCAGAATAAACAAAGAAAAAAAGAATCTTTAAAATAAATACGATAGCTAAAAAGTAAAGGTTTCAGATCAAATACATTCATTTTCCATATGCACAGTTAAACAGAACCATTTTAAGCCTGGATTTAAAAACATTGTCAGATTGGAGGCCTTTCTCACCTCTTCTGGAAGACTGTTCCAGATTTTAGAAGCATGAAACAAAAATGAAGCCCCTCCTTGTTTAGTTCTGACTCTGGGAAACAGCAGGAGACCAGAACCTGAGGTTCTCAGAGTCTGAGCTGGTTCCTATGGCTCAAACATGTCAGAAACGTATTATGAAGAGACTCGTACACAAGCAGAGCTGTAGTAAAGTCGATTCTCTGAGTGACAGGAAGCCAGAGCAGAGACCTGAGCTCTGGGCTGGCCGTTGCTGACGTGTAGGTAAATCCAGGTTCGATACATATACAGAATGTTTCGGTCTCTGAAGGCTGACTAATCTTTTAGTGTTACGCATCAAAACAGGAATGAAGGAAGCTACTTCCACATGGGGCCCCGGCTTATCCTGGCCATGGGTACATGTAGTACTGCTGCCTGGACCCGGTACATATCAGATTGAGTTTACCGATACTCTATGAGCCAGGTACTGCAGGGCTCCTGGTGCTGTTTCTACTGGAGAAACCAGCTCTGTGCTCCTCTGGTCATTAAAGGCCGAAGTGACCTTTGGAGTTTATGGTGGGGGAGGAGGAGGGAGAGGGCAACGGCGTGGCCAGCTCCTTCATGTGGTCCATTAGGTCCAGTTAGGGAAGACATGGGGAGGATGACCTAGATGAGGGGGCGTCCTCATTCCTGCCTTTTGGTTGAGGCGCAGGAGGGGGGTGGGGCGTCGCAATCTCAAGGTAATTCCATGTCAAATGTGCCAATTCCATGTTAAATGTGCCAAATATCACATTTTACTTTAAAAGGACTCCGGAACTGTGCTAGTTTTAACATGAATGGAAACCCATCAGTGGTTCAGTGACACACAAGGCCTTTATGATAAGGAGTATTTCCACTCTGCCGTTAATCCACAATGACATGCCTGGGGTTAATCTTGAGCACTAACCCAGATCCTGAAAATGGCTTAGTGTGAGTCCTGCTGAAGGTTGAGTTAGAGATCAGTAGCTTGCCATTTCCCACATCAAATGTCAGGTGGAGGCCATGGGACTGTAAGAAAAGTGGGAGAGGTCACTTCTGCCTGGGTGTAAATGAACTAAATTACAACATTATATCCAAACGCAATAAAGAAAAGGGTTTTCAGTTGACATTTAACCAACATTTAATGTAAATTGCACAAAGATGAACAAAAACCTAGCATTAAAAGAGGAAGAAACAGTTGAAGTGCTAAATAAATAAACCGATTATATGATTCATATTTCTGTACAAAATCAAGGTTATAAACATGAAATAATCATTCTTTAAAAAGACAAAAGACAGACATAAATCTAATTGTCTCGTTAGGCCTTATTATTAACACCTGTGTCACGTTTCGCCTTCTTTTTTGGCTTTCATTTCTCAACCTGGAGCAAAATATGAAACCAACTTTCACGACATGCAGTTGGTACTTAATTTTAGCTACTCTTCACTTTTGTTTACCACATGTTTCTCATGTAAGAATTATGCTTTTAATAATCTGCTGCCGTAATAAGAGAGAGGCAATGCACGGATGAATGTAATCTCATTTCTGTGTTCAGCATCTGTCAATAAACGATTACACTTTGCTCACAAATCCATCATTTCTGTTGTACGCGTCCAGCTCTGTGTGCAGATTGTATGAATCTCTCTCCTTCCCGTTCAGCTGTTAAGGCCCATGATTGTTTAATCTCATCAAGGGGGATTGGTGACATCATGTCCAATCCTGTGGTGACCTCGCCCAAAACGTAGCTGTTGGGATGAGCCGGGATGAGGAGCAGTGGGACGGGACCGACCAGTCGTACTCGAGAGGCACCCAGACAGGAGGAGGTATCCAGTTGATGAGCTCTTAGGAGCCGAAATATTTCTCTGATTGTTGTGGATCCCGCCATTCAACAGGTAATACTGATGACTGACACATATTTCTTTGCCATAATTTGTTTAGCTGTCATATTGCTTTTAAGACATGAATTGAGGAAACAGCCATGTTTCATACTTTGGAAAATAATGATGAAACTTGTAGGTGTTCTTTCAGGCATTCTTGGACATTCTTTAACAATTTACCTTGATTTTTTCTCACAGTCAGGATGGCTCGGGATATGTCAGATAAGGACATCTTGAAAATGGAGTTGGACCAGTTGAAGAAAGAAGTTAATACCCCAAGGACGGCAGTGAGTATTTTTCTTTTCTCTTTTCACTGACCTTCCCTTTATCCCCCGATGCCTTTTCCCTTTAATCGACATAGAAATAAAAAGCATTGACAGATGCTGGGTACTTTTTTGAATAGAGATTTTGAGGCTACCAAATCTATTCTTTACTTATTTGCCCAATTTCTCCCATAAACAGGTGAGTGCAAACTGCGCGGACACTATTACTTTCGTTGAAACAGAGATGCCAAACGATCCGCTGATTAAAGGCGTCCCGGATGACAAGAACCCCTACAAGGGAGACAAAGGAGGCTGCGTGGTGACATAGCACATGGAGAGGCATTCGAGGAAAAGCTGCAGTTTTTTATCAGAGATGGTTACATTGCTGTGATCTTCCTGTAGAATGCGTGTGCATAAATGTACAGTAGAAAAAAAAGAAAAGTTGCAGAATAATGTAACGGAGTAGCTACCAGAAGAGGGACCCTTCACAACGCAGGATTACTGTATGTACTGTACCTGTTGAATGTGTGTCAATTTGTAATTAAAAGCAAATAGTTGTTCAAACCTTCAATCTGACCTGAATGCTCTGATTATTCTTATTTACATCGGTGTATTTTACCCTCCTAATCTTAAAGTTATTTTTTATTTTGTTGCCATGCCAACGTGTCACTCTTCTGTTTTTGTGTGCGGAGTGGGAAAAGTAGGAAAATTGGGAAAAGTCGTAGAACCCCATGTTCAATTCTAGTTGGTAATAGGATTTCTTTGCTGGAGCACAGTCGGCCACTCTGGCCTGTTGACACAGATCCGCTTCCTGTCTCAAAGTCTTTAAGCTTATTCCTCTCTCCGTCTTGGTTTCCCTTTTGAGCCATCCATCCAATTAGTGTCATTCTGAATCCAATAAAAGGAAGTTGTTGAACACGAGGTATTAAATAGTCAGCCATGGAGTCAGTTTGCATTAAGATTATATCAGTAGCTGTCTGGGTGTCAGATTTATGGAGGCCCACTGAATATCTTATGATCTGACATGTTTCGTGTTATCTGTTCCTCCACATCCATTGGCTCAAAGTCAGCTGAACACCAAAAATGATATAACTGGAGTGTAAAGTCCATGCACATTTTCAGTGAAATGATGGTGCAAGAAAACTGTGTTATCACACAACACCGGATTTAAGTTTATCAGCTACTTTTATGGATGTGATGAGAATACACTGCAGATAATGCGGAGCCTTTACGCAAGTGAGTTCTCTCGTCTTTGAAAGAGAGTGTGGCTCAATTTCAACAGTGACTCTTTTCTTATCTGACCTGGAATTCTGATAGTCGATGATCTCACTGGGCCACACCGTTGTAAAAACTTGAACTTGATACAAAACCTATAAAGTCTGCTGTGAGTTGTCAATAGCGATTTATCTAAATTGCCTTATCAGATAAGCCCCAGGACCATATCACATCTAAATAGCTTAACCTGAGCTGACTACCATGAGACAAACAACAAAGCAAATATTCCTTTTACAATTCAGCTTCTCCTAATCATATGAATCTGATTAGGAATACACCACCCCCCAGAAGTGAGCAAATAATGATAATATAAGTAGAGGAAAGCAAAAATGCTTTAGATTTGTTTTGTAACATTTTCCTGTGGTGCCCATCCTCATTTTGTACATGGTCATTTCAAGAAAAAGTTGCTTTCTCCGCTTTATCTTTACTGCTCGTCATAAAGCAGGCAGCGCTGCACATCACCCCCCTACCCGTCTTCTACAGACCTTGAGCACTGGCACAGGAACACAATAAAAGGCACCTCAGATGGGTCCGTTGTTCAGAACAGCGAGCCCTGCTACAGAAACACCGCTTCCATCGCTTCAAAGATGTGGCTCTTGATCTTCTTGGTGTGGCTGGCGGTATGGGCCGGCGGCACGTACTGGTACTTGTTCGGGAAACCCAGCCCTTTCTCTTTGGAGTCCGTGCGACCCCCCGGACCCCGTGAGTTTGACCAGAAGAAGCGGGACAAAGTAATCAAACAAGGTAAAACCAAAGCAGGTTGAATAGTCGATGTAAGGCCTTCATGAAAAATCCACTGACTGTGATGAGTTTATATTACAGTTCTGTTGCATTTCTTGAAATATTTAAATCAATAAAATTGCTTGTCGCTTCATAATCTACTTCTAAAAGGAACAGTAACCATCTGCGTGTGGATCATTTTCATACATTATAGAGAAATACTAGAGATGTGTGTGATCTGTCTCTTATGACTACGTTTCAGTTTTTGCTTTAACACAAACTGAACTGGATATTACCTCCCGGCATGCCAACATTTTGAATGTCGACTACTTAAATCTGCATATGCTTTTTTCATTCTGTTGCATGAAATAAAAAAGCTGAGGAAAAAAAAGATTGATTAAATAAAGACTGCTCGTTAGTTAGTCGAAATTTGTTTTGGATTACAGTTTCCTTTATCTAAAAAAATGAACATCTTTAATGTTTCACATTTCCTCCCTGCTGCAGTCTCAACTCTTCGTAGATTAAAGAAGTTAATTGCTGAATGTTTTTGCATTCCTTTTCTAAGAAAATCAAGATACAAATTCAAAATTCATGGAAATTCAGTAGAAGATAAGTTAGTACTTGAGTTTAGTCAGAAATGAGCTATTCTCACTGTTGCTTCACATTTTCCGATTATTACTGTTTTAAAATGATTCAAATGCACTTTGTCCAGTCTGATATGGTATCATAAGATAAAACCAGAGAATTTTTGGTCAGTTGGTGACAGTTAACCAAGTAATCGTTTTGAAATCTGTGAATGAAGGCTCTGGTTACCTGATAAAAAGACAATCTTTTGGAGAGATCTCTGGCCTACAAACATTTCACTGTGGCAGATATTTCTGCTGAGGTGTGCAGAGGCCTCTATCTGAATGCTCTGTTTGCAGAGCCATAAATCAGACTAGGGATCAGATCTAAATTAGATTTGTTGGATCTGCTTTTCATGTTTATGTTTTATCTAAATTAGATTCTGATTAGGAGGTCCTGATAACTTTCAAATCTAATGTTTATCACAGACAGCTGAGCAAAGATCTAGGCCTCAGTTTATTATCAACAACAGGAAAGGTGTGCAGTCCGACCTTCAGACCACACTGTAAATCCCATTGTGTAACACATTTTAAAGTCTCAGGATCAGCATTTAATTCCAGCTTTACTGAACCACAACAATGAAGCGTATCATTTTATTAGTCCTGCATGTTGTTTTTTTTAATTCAACTTTTTTTTTATTGATCAAACTTTAAACACACACAAACAAGGTCCATATAGTTACATTATATTACATATATATACAATAGTTACATTGTCCTATTGTACATAGTTTCCTTATACGCCACCTTGACATCTCCAACAGAAAATATGGTCCAGAAAATAGCAGTAATAATAAATGGAAACAGAAATATAATTGTTATCATCAGATACACATCATGTCCCTTTCATGTGTACCCAGAAATAATCCCATCATTCGTTTCTCATCATTCAGCCTTTCCAGCATACTCTCATAGGAGGCTGCTTCAATTACTGAATTGACCCAGTCTTTTAACTCCAAAGTTTTCCTGTATGTTTCTTTCCAGGTTTCAGTGTTGACAAAGTTCCTGAAAACCTGGATGTCATCGTCATTGGTAGTGGGATCGGCGGGCTGACAGCCGGGGCCACATTGTCCAAAGCAGGAAAGAAAGTCCTGGTCCTGGAACAGCATGACCAGGCCGGAGGATGCTGTCACACCTACATCGAGAAAGGCTTCGAGTTTGACGTTGGTAAGAGGGCTTATCAACACGTTCCTGCATGCTGTTTTGAAGCTAAAGGGTTTATAGTTTCAGACAAGTTTTCCTGCACTCTGCTTAGCAGACTGAATGCAGGAAGAAAGGACACTAAATAGAAAATACTTGCAAAACAATATGACATTTGGCTTTGCAACCCACCTGAACTCAGACTCACCCTGCTCACTAATTTATCTCCAGGTCTTCACTATATCGGTCAAGTCCATGAAAACAGTCTGCTGCGAATCGCCTTTGACCAGATCACTGAAGGGCAGCTGGAGTTTCAGGAGCTAAATCCGCATTTCGACACCATCCAGATCGGAGTGGGTGACGAGAAGCGGGAGTACACCATCGTGTCCGGTAAAAGTGAAATGAAAGCTCATCTGATGAAGCAGTTTCCTGATGAGACGGAGGCCATCGAGGAATTCTTCAAAACCATGAAGGTTAGGACTACCAAAAGGTACACGTGTCGGTTTCTTTTGTCCTAAATGCTCAAGAGGAGCTTCTGAATCTCTTCCCCTCGGCAGGTCTCAGCTAAGAAGACCCACTACCTGGCAACGCTGAAGCTGATCCCTCAGTGGGTGGCTTTGTTCCTGCTGAAGTCTGGCATTGCAGACTTTGCCTCTTCGGTCTTCCGTCTCTCTGGCACCAGAGCGTCTGATTTTGTAAACGCGCTAACCAAAAACAAGGATCTCCAAGTCATTTTTTCTTATCTCTTCTATGGTGGGTCCCCGTTCAAGAATGCTCACTGACAAGCTTTGCGCACCACAGAGCACTTAACCATGTCCATGCTGAACACGTGCAGGTGTGCCCCCGAAGGACTCCAGTGTTCTGATCAACGCCCTCCTGATTCACCACTACAAACGGGGAGCCTACTACCCCAAAGGCGGCGCCAGCGAGATCGCTTTTCACATCATCCGCACCATCCAGAAAAGTGGAGGGAACTGCCTGGTCAGAGCCCCCGTCTCCCAAATCCTGGTCAACGAGAAGGGAGCGGCTTACGGTAAGAACTAAACCAAGAAAAGGTTTTAAGGTCAAGATGTTGCCAGGTCCAGACTTTCTGTCTGTGGTGTGTGGCAGGTGTGAAGGTGAGGAAAGGCCAGGAAGAAGTGGAAATCCACGCGCCTGTCGTCGTTTCGAACTGCGGCATCTTCACCACCTTCCAGAAACTTCTCCCACCCGAGATTCAGGTCAAACAAGGTGAGCGACCGGCCTGGCGTTGATCTAAACCTGAGCAGTGAGATGGACGCAGAGCCTGAAAACACCTTCGATGTACTGCAGGCATCCAGGAAAGACTGAACATGATGAAGCACGGCAGAGGTTCGTTCTTGGTCTTCTCTGGATTTGATGGAACTCAGGAGGAATTGGGCCTGGTGTCCACTAACTTCTGGCTGTTCAAGAACAATGACATGGACAAGTCGTGAGTGTACTAACTACATTTTTTGCTGAGGGTAGGACAAGGACTGTTAACCACAAGGGGGCGCTATTGTATTAGAAAGAAAACAGGGCTGTTCAGAGCCACTGGCTTCTAGAGAGGCTTACACTTAACATAAAGAAAGACAAAGTAAATATGATGCTTATTTAAATTATTGATCTAACAGTTTTTTTTATTGTATTTTCTTTTAGAATGGATGAGTTCTTTGCCATGAACAAGGAAGAAGCACCTGATAACATCCCCATGATGTTCATCACAATGCCTTCTGCCAAAGACCCTGAAGCCAAATTACGGCATCCTGGTATGATATTTCTTTATCAAAATGAGCAACAAGAATTTCAAAAGAAAATGACCAAACAAAACACATGTGTGGGGTAGTAGTAGTTTCTATCTTTGAAATAAAACAATGAAAAAACCCACATCCAAGTGTCCCAACTGGCCAAACATCTTTTGCTCTCTGCTTCTTTGGTGATCTTAGGAAAATCTTGCATGACCATACTGACCATGGTCAACTATGAGTGGTTTGAAGAGTGGAAAGACACCTCCGTGCGCAAAAGGGGGGATGAGTACTACAACTACAAAATGAGATTTGCCAACCACCTCTTCGACTGGGCCTGCACGCTGTTCCCCAAGATCAAAGACAAGGTGGGGAATCTGTCAGTTTCTGTCCGACATCCACACCACGGCCGAGTTGTTCTTTTGCGCGTGACCACTAGTTTTTTGTGTATGACTTGTTTTTCAGCTGGTTTTCCAGGACGTGGCAACCCCACTCACCAATTCGCACTACCTGGGCTCTCAGCGTGGAGCCATGTACTCCGCTGAGCACAACCTGGAGCGTTTTTATGCCGAGAGCGTGGCCAGGAACAGGTGCAACACCCCTGTCAAAAACCTCTTCATCTCAGGTGTGAAAACGGCGTGCTTTTCCCAACCGAAACGGGACAGATTAACGTTCTTGTGTGCGTTGGGTCACAGAGTGAAAAAGTGGGACGATCTTTCCTCATTTGTGGCGTTTTCTTGTTTCAGGCCAAGATGTGTTTAGCTGTGGGATAGCAGGCGCCCTGCACGGCGGCCTCCTCTGCGCCTCCACGGTCTTAGATCATATCGTCTACATCGACTTGCTCCTCCTCAAGAAGAAGCTGAAGAGGAGGAAAGCCAGAGAGTTGGCCCAGCTGGCTAAGAAGCTGCAGTGAGCACTCCCCACTTCCCCCGAAGGGCAACGAGGAGACTGCAGAATGTAGAAAGCAACGTTTGCAGGAATACACTCATTTGATCGAATCTACACGCACTTTTCTGATGCTGAGGAGGGATAACAGGGATGTCCTGTTTATGCGTTCCACACTGTCACATTGTTTTATTCAGTATTTAAAACTGATGGCTCTGGTTCACTCATAGGGAAGGTCAGTGTCTCTTCATCAGTTTGTGCTTTGCAGTTTGGCCTTGAGATGATTGACTGTGAAGTTGAACTGTGAATATTACCAAAACAGAGAACAACAAAAAATGCTGAAAATAAGAAAAAAGTTGGTCGTGGCAGGAAATGACTTTAAATGACACCCGTTGCTGCATCACAGCCAAAAACTGGTGGGCCTTTGGGTTTCGGATGGTTTCCGAAATGATGCTTGTGCTGGCCCATTGGACATATTTTTGCCTGTGTTTCTCCTGTGCTTTTCCTACTGTCAGTGTTATTGCTCCGTTTTGCTGTATTTAGGGGTATAATGACCTTTAAGCTGCTGCATTGTGTTTGTTTCAGCTGTCATGCAATGGATAGCAACACCTGGATAACAAATGAATAAATCTGCATTGAACTTGAATTCTCATAAAAAAAATTTTTAAGGGTTTTGATGTTTTTTTCTCAATAAACTCAATTGAACAAATAAAGATGACATCATCAAATTTGCAGTGTTATTTCAATAAAATGCCACTGAAAGACAAAACTAGAAATTATTTGTTAAAGTCATTAGGGCACTCAATAAAAATGGAGGTAAAAGCATGTAGAAAGTCTGATTTCATGGAAGTCCTCTTACAGAATATCACCTTTAATAAATCCTAAACGTGTAAAGGCTGCAAACAGCACATATCCAACAGGTGAGCTGAGCTTTAAAGGTTCCTCTGGGTTTAGTTCCCACCAATGTTGATCTGACCCGGCGTGTAACCCTGATGTTGTTTGGGTAACTCCAGAAATCAAACATAGGGGCTGAAACCTCAGACTTCCTGCACTAAGTGAACATTTCCTCAGCCAAAGGAGGGCAGATTGGCCGACAAGCTGTGGTCTGTAGGGGACGACCGGGGGGGATCCGAGCCGAAGAAAGGACCCTCTGTCCAGGCAGACGCTGGGATGCCAGAACCACTCTTGCTCTTCCCTCTGCTGAACAAATCCAGGGGAAGCTCTGGCCGTGACTGAAAATGTTTCGGGCTACTTATATTACTCAAGTCGCAGTTTGTCTTTAAATCTAATGAAAACGCTAAAACTAAAAAAGGTTCAAGGTTGAAAAATCCAAAAGGGAGGGGGGAGTTAATTATACAGATTTTGCATGGCTGGAAACTCCAGTAGACCAAAACATGTCATTACCGTGGTATTATAAGGGCATTTCTTCACCAGAAATAAACACATCAGTAGCTTTGACATTCTTATGCTTCAGTCTGACTGACTCAGAGTCTAACCTAAACTGAGTTTATCCACCTTCAGAGTTCAGAAATGGTTAGACTTGTCTTTTTTTTACCAAGTGACGTGGCTGTGGGAGTCGGTCTGTCAGCTGGTGGCTCATTCTGTTCACTGATTCGGTCCAGGCTGCAACATTTAAAGTTAGTGTGAATTAAAACCCTACTGACTTGAATGTGTCCAAGACTTTGTGCCATAATTGTGGTAATAACAATGATTGTTTAATGCTGATACTGCAGTTAGTCTTGTTTTCCTTAAGTTGACAATCAATGTTACATAAAGATTTTATTGATTCTCTCTAGTTGCTGAAGTCCCAGAAAGCTGAAACAAAAAACCAAAACCAAAAAATAAAAAATTGGGGCAGTTTATGAAAGTTCAGCTGTTTTTTTTACCATTTGGAAAACCTTTCATTAAAAAAGACAAAAAGGTTTTGCGGCTTCTGTGTAAATGCAGAGCATAAATACAGAGAACAGAACCATCTCAGGCAAGACGTGCACAAATCTGACGGAACGCCGATCTGCGCGTGCCAAAATCTTAAGATCTGAGGTGGAATTTATGTATTTCTTGACCAGCAGAACTGCCTCAACCCTCCTTCTCCTCTTTTTTTTTTTCGAGCAGGAGGCTCCCACATGTTTAGACGTGCTCTTACATTAGGAGAGGCCCAGAGGGCTCAAACTTAACAAAAGCACTCCACTTTTCTGGGTGGCTCCACCATTTTTCTTTCCTCTCCTTACCCTGCAGATGCATACTACTGTGGTAAATCTTCACTGCTAAATTCACTGCTAACACTACAAGCATCTAAAATATTTTCTTTTCTTTTTTTTTTTAAATGAAGTAAGCTTGCAAGCAGGATTGGCTCAGAAAGTATTCATGTTGCTGGGCGCTCAGCTCTGTGCTTCGGCCAGATTTCCTCTCTTTTCCAGATGTTGGAGCTCCTCCCCGCTGGCCTGCTGCTGCCTCCCACAGCCTGGACCCGGCCAGCAGCCACAGCTGCTACCAATCTGAGGACTCTTATAGGAAACTTTCAGACGGTCAAGAAAAGAGGAGGACCCAGTTTGAAAATGTCTCCTCTACTGGGCTTAAAGTCTTGACACCAGTCAGTTATGCTTGTGGTGGATCAATGTAAACTTATGCCACAGGGCAGTTTTGTAGGAAGTGCACAATAATAATACCTGTGTATTACACATTACAAGAGAGCAAACAGATATCTGCATGTCTCTTGTAATTCAGCTAAAAATAGGAGCTTTTTGCTCGATGTGGCTAAAAGGGTTTTTTTATTGTAATGAAATGAAGAGTTCCCCAGTTTCCAGATTCCTCTGTCTTAGAATTTCACTACAGCAGACTATGGAAAAGTCAACATGTCTGTAAATTTGCGATTTATTAGACAGCGTTGAAAGGAATTCTTTCCATACCGTTATCTTTATTAGATCATGTGTTAAATTCTATTCCAGTGGTTGTTAGATTACATTTTAGCAGGGGAACTGCAAAGCTATTATTTATTTGGGATAATTACTACAATACCTGGACCTACCACGATTTCTGTGCAGGTCCAGGTTCTGTAATTGTTGTCTTAAGTGCTTTATTTGACTCTGAGCAACAGAGTGAAAAAGTGGATTATTCTCACTCTTTCACAGAAAACAAAAGTAATCCCCACCTGGCAAACCACAAAGTCCTTCTCTGTTTAGTGATTACAGTTTACACCCTGGAATGAGGATGAGGATAGAAATCTCTGGCTCTAATCCAGAACAAACAATGGGAGATGTTGGTGTGGATGTGCGAATAGTTGTAAATTTGATTCACCTACTAACTTTGAAGACTTTTTCACCCACTTGTAGCTGCAGTTGCTCCATCAGCAGAAGCTTCAGAAATTATCCAGTCTCACATTTCATGTTTTAGCCCCCCCTCTTTCATCCACCCTTTGAAACCAATCCGACCTCTCTTCATTTTCATCGCACTGCAATGCATCCGCATTCGTCATCACAGCCATCTCTGCTTTGTGGTTCCTGATGAGGAAGTTTGTGAAACTGTGTGTGTGTGTGTGTGTGTTTGGGGGGGCTAATGCATGAGACAGTGTGCACTAGAGGGGGCTCTTGTGTGGGGTGTGGGTGTGTTAGCAGACAGCTCTCACACACAGATCACTCCTTAACACATGGCTAACATAAACTCAGTCGTTTTGCGGCGTGTTTTTTCCCTCATTTCAATCTCTATGGACAGACAGTTTTCAATGCGGAGCCTACTTTGTATCTCTGTGAAAAGCCCTAATTAGAGACACTGTCTAAGCTAAACCAAAGAAGACAGGAATCAAAGAAAAAGAAAAGCAAAGAAGTACCCTAAAAGATGTAGGAAAAACATTAAAATAATACGTTTAAGACTAGAAAAAAGACACAAAAAGCTCAATATATTCATAAGTAAAACCAAAAATGACTGATCCTACTTTCCCCCCTAACATTCTGCTTGGTGTTACACAGTTTGTTGAGAAGTGCTTTGGTCTTGATCTTTACACACACCAAGTGTTTGCTTTTCTACTTAGCACAGATATGTGTAACATCTGGCCAGAAGGTGGCATACTCAAATTCTTTCAGTGATCTCAAGTGGCCTTTAATTCACTTTGGAAATTCAGCAAATGGAGAGCCTTATGTAAAAAAAAAACTACAAAATTAGCTTTTTTGCCAACACTTCATAACAATAGAAAATGAAAATATGATGTAAATATAACCTTTGACAAAAATGCGGAAAACCAAGCAAAACATCTACAGCAAAGTTTTGATGTCACAGATTTTTGTTGTTGTTATTGGTTTTGTAGTTGTGTTTGTGAAATTTTGCACGTTATTTGCTTGCTTTTTATTTTAATACTGAACACTTTCCTTCTTTTTTTTGCTGACCTCTTATTGTTGTCGTGTCAAACCATATGCAGTTAGCAAAGTGTTAATAAGAGTGTTATATAGAACAATGAGTTGAGTATGGCTGTGTTTTTTCTCTGTATAAGAAAATATATAAGTATAAGAAATGAATGGGATGTCTTCGGTTCCCAGTTGAAATCTCAGCTCCTGTAACTGCAGCTTTGGCCCCGTAAGACAAGGCCTCACAGCTTTATGAACTCAAACCTATTGAACAAGTTTGGCTAATTTAGTTTCAACAGCACCATAAACTCTCAAGTCATCTGCCGTGCTGTCCACTTTCTGAGACGAAGGCTGGAGATGATTCCAGCTGGCTCTGACTTGTGATTCATCCTCTCTGAAATAAAATGTTTGGCCTTTTAGCCGGCTGTGTGATTAAACTTCTCCGGTGAAAACACGGCACCATAGACAAAGACATCACAGGAACCACAATGAGAGACTCCACCTTTTTCCCTTTGGTTTGTCGCTCTTCCTGCCACTCCGAACCTTTACTTAGTGAAAGTACTGGGAACATTTCTAATGTGTAAATCATACCGATCTTTTCTCTGTCGTTAGCCTCCGATGATCAGGAGGTTCTACAAATAATTCTTTGTCTACTTTGTGCAAATATCTTTGCTAATCTTGGAGGAAAATGGTTTCCCCGTGTATGTCGGGGTTCTTTTGAAGTAACCTGGTTTCTGCCCACTGTAAAAACCAAAAAAACAAACATAAAACAGTGTGTTAGGTCAATTGGAAACTCTAAATTGACCTCAGGAGTGTGTGTGTGTGTGTGTGTGTGTGTGTGTGTGTGTGTCTGTGTATGTGTGTCTGTGTGTGTGTGTTAGTTTGTCTTGTTCGTCTCTGGGATGGTCAGGTGACCTATCCAGACTGTACCTAACTTTTTGTCCAAAAACAGCTAGGACGGCCTCCGGGACCCCAAGACTAATTGGAAATAATGAATATAGAAAAAGGATGGATGTATATTTTCAGTTTATGACGAAAGAGTTGTAACTCATTAATGTTACTGAATCAGTCCTAAGTGGAGCCACTGGGATCATAAAAAAAGAAT